TTGCATTCCAATGGAATTTTAATAAACCATGCTCAGAATAAAATACTGGGTTATTATTCTATTTACTTGCTCGTCGGTGATGAGTTAGGGATTGAACATCTTTGTGAAATGTTACTATTCTAAAATGTTACATTCCAATGGAATTTAAATAAACCATGCTCAGAATAAAATACTAGATCATTATTTGATTCACTTGCTCGTCAGTGGGTTTAATTTAAAATAGAGGGAAGTGAAATTTGTCCAATTTTTTTATCAGTAATTCAGTCCTTATATCAGACGCAACAGTGAGAAAGATCCGCCATCAAGAGACATAATTGCTAATAAAAATGTCAAGTCCCTTATAAAGGGCGTCTTGTTCAGATATAGTATAAATTCTATCCACGTAGACTGTTGAAACTTTTATTAGCAATTCCGCCATTAGATGGCACATCTTTTTCATTGCTCGATGTAATCTAAAGGCTCTCTTTATAGGAGACAGTTTTCAACCGACACGTCCCACGCAGGATCTACTATTATAGAAATGTCATCATCTCTTACCTCGTAAATCCTACAAATGAAATTCTTGTTTAAACAATAGTGTCTCTTTAAATTTTCTATTAAAGACACCATTCCCTTTTTCTTGTATCGATCAAGGGCGAGTTCGGCTGGGTAAATTTTATTTTTAAATTGCAATGGTACGCAACTTAAAAATAATGAAAATATTTACATTTCACGAAGGTAACCGAAAATCGAGAGACTAGTAAACGATCTTCGATAGTCTGTTATTTTAACAATGTTTCAAGAATGTTTTATTCTGTCACGGGACAACTTGTATGGGAAAGCTCAGCTTTAGTACGTCCAACGTTCGAGTCCCGAGGGAACGATCACTGAACTAAATGGCACGGTAGTTTTTCTTAATTATGGTCCATGGGGCTACCGACTTTCCCGCCAGCCGATAATTTAACGAGAACGAATGGCGTTGCCGTAATGCTGCTCGTTATCCCCATAATCCTTTCGTCGTGAAAAACAGGATTCAAGGACTCCTCGCGGCTGGACTTGCAGCTTTGCTCGCGTATGTATTGCGAGGATATGTTCCATTTTAATACTTATATTTATTCGTATTAAAGTCTTCATTTATAAAATTTCCTTATAACATACGCCGTGTAAAAATTCTATTGGAAAAGAATATCGTTTAATAATAATTCTAGCTGATACTTTCGTAAATTAAATAGCCTACACTTTCCGTCGGGACACGAATTGAACAACAATAGTAGTCACAAAGTCACAGTAGGAGTTATAAAGGAATCGTAAACATACAGATCATAATATCTTGTTTCCCTTTCATTGTCTGATACACGTAAATTATTTTCCAGCTGATGACATCAATAATATTAACTTCTTTCCCTTATTTAATAATTCTTAACGATACCGTTAATTGTTAAATATATTCCAAAGCAATCCTTAAGAAACCCATCTGGACGATGGCGAATGCATCTATGCCATTTTTAAATTTGGCGATATGAAATATTTATTCATAGAATAATTTGCGAGGAAATTGCGGCCAGGTTCGTTACGAGTTTCACTAGAGAAATTATGTTCTTCATTATTCTGTGGTGCTTCGTCCTGACACTTTTTAAAAGGCGACTGATGTTCATCAGCCTTCATTCAAGCAACGTTGCTTTGACCATCCGTTCCGTGGACTGAGTAAACAAGTGCCGATGAAACGTTAACGATCGAGGATGGCGGATTCCATCGGACAATTAATATATATAGAAATTTCAATTTGTGTGTTTGCGATGACTTTGTGACTCTTACTACTTTTGTCTAATTTAATACTACCATTATTATTTTTATCGTTGTGACCTCTTTAATATAATTCTAAAACTAGAAGAAAATGTATGAGTAACACCAGAGTAATTCAACAATCGAGCAAAAGCAAGTGATATACGAAGACAGCATTCGAACCTAACGTCAAAAGTATTCCGCGAAATAATGCAAAGTCGGGTAAAGGGACTCGGATGAGTTAATAGATACGCTGATGAATAATGGGCCTGGTGGTATAATTGAGCGTAGAATAGGTTGGAAGGGCACGTTTTCCGAAAGAAAGAGAAATTTAATCGCAATTGTGCGAAAGGAAATGGTAGAGCTAAGCTTGGAATTCAATTACATGGTAATAGGAAGTAGCAAGAGATGATTGAGGACAGGTTAACCGTTAGGAAAGAAATGTGAAAGGTTAGGCACCACTATTCATGAACGACGTATCTGAAACTTTCGACCATTGGAACGTTTAAATTTGTCGTGAAAATAAATTTTTTACGCGATTATTTTCTTTCTTTTTGTGGAACGAAGAGTCAAACAGAAATGAAGAGTCAAACAGAAATGAAGAGTTCAAACGTAATGAAAGCTACTTCCAGGCGTTATCGAGAGATTGGTCTGCATTGCCTGCAGAGCGAGGCCTACCATATCAACGGAATGTTCTACGTTATCGAGTCTTACCGATAGAGTACTCTACATAACCAATCTACATTACCAATTGGGTTAGGTCTAATCGGAGTACTCACTTCACCTCTTTTCTTTGAATTCAAATTCCCCATCTTTAGTGATTCGAGATAGTGCTTCTAACATTAACGAGAGATAAAATATTCTACGCCATTAGGCTGAAGGAAATCGCGCCGTTCTTCGATGGAGTCACCGACAATTCAGCGATACTACAATCAGACATGTTTTCCTTGATGGGAAATTAACATCAACAGGTTAATCTTATGTTAATTCCTTGAGTCATCGCTTGTATGAGTTATTGAAGCGAGTTTCGTTAGATATCGAACATATAAAGTTCTTGAACGATCGATTTTTTGACAGATGGGTTAATCGAATTAAAATCTGCTTGAGGATTTTACTTTCGAGGTAACTTAAACAGAAGCGTGTATTCGATATCCGTTAGGGGAACGAACTAGACTGGATTATCGAACAGAATAATCAAGAAAAATACCAGAATTATTGATTTTAATTATATACCTATGCAATTATAACTAAAATATGCACCCGAGTTTGTTTTCAGTTTACTAGAATTATATTTTTGTAATATACGAAGAAATAAATAAGTAATAGAAATATATATCCACACACGTTCCTAATATATTCAAGAGACTGGTGTAGTCGAAAATAAAAGACAGGTCGCCAAGGATCGTCGAGTGAAACGTAAATAAGAAAAGCATCAACCTTGCACGTTGTTTTACTGAAAATAACCGATCCTCGGGACCGTTGCAACCGGTTTGCCGAAAAAATCGAATCGACCGACCAAACGAGCATCGACTAAATTTGCAACTAAAGTATTTTCTTTTCAATTCGAAACAGTTATATCGACCGTTCGTTCTGGTCACTATGGCAGCGATTAGGGTCCGATAGGTGGAAAATTAATCGTTTAAGGAAATTTTCGCCATTCGTGGCGACTCCACCACCTTCGTCAGTTTCATTTGGTGTGCGACAGTGTTCGATGAAAGTAACGATGGGACCAGGAGAGTGGGGGATCCTGTTCCCGTAGCCTGTTCCAGGAAGAAGGTGCAAGAATTTCCTGGGCCTCAGTGCATCGGAGATTATCGTGCGAGTTCGTCCACCGCGAATCCAACGAATGGACGCTTCTCTTGGTTGCTATTTTCAAATATTACGCGTGACCATAACCGCGACACTCGTTTTTCAAATGTCCATCAAGGAAACGTCTGCGTGAATAATAATCGAGAGTGACACCATCGTACGACTGAACATCGTTCAACCATGGCGGGAGAACAGGACTAGTTTTTTAAATTTATTTCGAAAGAGAGAAGAACTCGTTTGCGAGCAGACATGATTCGTCGAGGCCTTTTATTTGTAATCGCGGTCCTGCACGGGGCTGTTGCTCGTGAGTAAAATTGTTAATTTCAATCGATCGTTAAGCTTTGCAATTACGGTAATCGATTGCTTTTGACAGTTACAATTGTCAAGTACAATTGATTATTACGTATCGATCGTTGGTTGAAGTCAATTGTGGTTGGAATTTTTCCTTTCAATTCTAATTGACTTTTTAATTGATTCAAAATGTGAACGATTGATTCCAACATTATATTTCTGTGAAACGATTCGAGAACTAACGTTCTTGAAGCTTACAATGAAATATAAAGACAAAATGCCATTGAAATAATCTTGAAAACGTTCTCGCATTAAAAAAAACTAGTAGTGCCATCCAACGCCCCACTCGAAACACTTAAGAACGTGTGTCAGTTTTTTCTTTTTTTAATCACATGTCTTTGAGAATTTTTACAATCTCAACTCAAGTGGAAAACCCCGTATAATGAATACAAATATGTATGTATTATAACAACTCCTGTATAAATATATATATTGACTCACCTTACTCAAAAACATTCATTTATTCATTTATTTAAAGCGCGTGACTTGTTACCAAAGTTATTGCACTACTGCTTACTTCTTACTAGCTTATTTCCATTCTTCTTACCATCGTCTTACATGACTTCTGCGTTATTTGAACCCATTGCGTTCGAGTGGCGCCTCTAGGGCGACATATGTAATTTAAGAGTGATTTCTGAACATACAATTTCAATTTTATTTATATCGAAATACAACTAATTATTAATTAAAATAATATACATTGAGTCGCGAATGTTTTCAGATGTTTCCTTTCGGAAGCAGAGTTTTTGATTTTACAGAAATTTATTATAAAAATGGACTCGATTTGATTCTATGGAAAAATGCCTCGAGCGCAAAGGCTTAATACTGTTCGCAGTATCTCTTACTTCTCATCTATTGGAGCCCGCTGGCCCCTTCTAGCTCGGGTACCTCGGGGTTGTTAAGCCAGTACTGTAGCTACAAATACCGCTACAGCCCCTGAGGGCAACTCAACAGACAGTGTCTATCACACTTTGTCTTAGAGTCACGCTGAGAATCTACGAATGTCGCATTTGAATGTCGAAACATAGAACGAAGAGTTTCTAAGAATTTCTAACAAACAGAATGTAATAGGTGTACAAGTTCTGTTTAATCTGAATTCGACAGT